TTCTTGTCTTTGTAATCTTTAGAGACCCCTTGAAAATCTATTTCCAAGCTTTTTTTTTTTTCTTTCTTACTAACTTATATAACTAATTCCTTTAAAATCACTAAGAAGGAAAAAAAATTAGCTAACTGAATTACTACTATCTTTTTTTGAACAATTTCGACAATTTTAACGCCTGTCAACCTTTAATTCACAATGCCAAGGTTAAGGACACTTATTCCCACAATTTATTGTACAATATGACCTTGCTGAAATGCAAATTGCTGGGCCCACACCAAAGATTCGGGAAATCTGGAGTTGGAGCTCAGGAAGTCTGCATTCAGCGAGGATCCCAGGAAAAGATGAGGCGTGCTCAAGGTCTCACAGCTCCTAAGTGGCAGCAAGACTTCAGGTGAAGTCTATGGTGAAATTCATCTGTCCTTACTATTTACATAGTGAGTGAAGGTGTGTAGGTTGATAAGGACTCGGACTTCTCCAAGGAGTCCTTGCAGTGAGTCCCTCATCATCCTACTCGTGGGCCCTCATCAGGGGCATGCTGTTTGTCCACACTCCTGGATGTCCATATCTTTAACATTATGATCCTCATGCTGATGATGATGAACATGCATTCTGCCCTGTCTTCCCCACGCTGGATGTGCACTAGTCTTTAGTGCCCCTCATTAATACCCTGGGGGTACCCATACCATGTTAAAGGAGATGTTTTGTTGCCCTACTCCAATTAATGAATGGGATTGAACCCTTCGTGCATTTAAGATAAAGAGAACAAACATTTAGTAAGAGAAAGGAAAAGAAAATCAACGCTAAGTGTCATTGGCATCCCAACGGTTTAGCTCTTGTAGACTCAGTATAGCTTCCTGAAAATGTAAGACACTTTGCAAATGATTTTTAATCTTCACAAAAATGCCTTGAGGTATCATTATTCCTACTTCATGAATAGGCTTCAGAAAGGTCACCAAACACTCCGTCGTGCAGCCAGCTGGGGAAATGTCAAGATCCGAACCCAGGTGTCTTCCTCCATAGCTTGTCTTCTTTCCATTCACCCACACTTGTCTTCTAAGCTCAGAAATTCCACATAAGCATTTTATAACCATCATCTAGGATGTTGAAGTTATCAGCCGTAGTTTGCATCTCTTTGGCCACCATATGCAGCTTTCACACATCTCTAAATATTAATTATGAAAGTTTTCTCTTATAGTTCTCCTTGTTACACAATAGCAAAATAAATAAAATGTGCTTACCAGTGCAACTCTCCCATGGAGCTTCCCCGCACATTTCACTGTCTTGCCCAAACATTCAAAATAGGCACATGCACATCTTCTAGAAACACACTCCTTCCACTTATGCTTTCTTCCTACTTCCCCTTATTGATGGAACGATTCAGCCCTCAGATAGGGATATCTGCTCATCTGTCTCGTCTCAGCTTTCTCACTGGTTATAAAGCTGCACCTCCCCCCAGGATGTCCCTGGCATTCCTGGGCTACTGCTGCCACTTCCCTACCAGGCTGGCTCCCTGACAGGCCTCTGTAGCCTCCTGAGTGGTCCACATGGCAGGCACTCCTTAGGGTCAACAGCCATTTGACTTTCGCCAAGGCATGGTTGAAGTCCCTAGTATTTGAGAGAGAAATCAAATGGAATTCATGATGACGGGCCCTTCTGGAGTCTCCATCTGCTTATCAGATGAGATGTCAAGCAAGCAGGGCCCCAGACCACAGTAACTTCTTTAGAGAGAAATGTCTTTCACTGAGTCACGTTTCAACTCCCTGGCCCTGGTGATGTTGGAGATGGAGTGGGAGAGCTGTGCTTGCTTAGTCCCGTTCGTTGCTGAGTACCTTCTTCCTTAGAATAATAATGTTTTCTTCCTTGAAATACAGGTATGTTTTATTTATCAGAAAAAGAAAACGCTATGTCACCCGTGTGGTGTTCCTTTTGCCAGAGCTACTAGCAAGCTTAGGAGTTAAATTTAGTGCTCATTTACATGATCTCATTCTCAGTTTCTGGAGAAAAGAAACTATCTTCTCTCTTCTCCCCTATGATTTCTGAGCTCTGGGGGCACTAGACATTTAGACAAGGGGCCATGATACTTTTGTTGCTTGAATATTAATACTGTGGGGAAAGACTTACGATTATTTACTGCAGGATAAGAAAATAAAATCTGGGGGAACCTGGGTGGCTCCATCGGTGGAACGTCCGACTCTTGATCTCAGCTCATGTCTCGATCTCAGGGTCGTGAGTTAAAGCCCCACACTGGGCTACACACCAGGTGTGGAGTGTACCTAAAAAAACTAAAAAAGAAAATGAAATCTGGTGATATTGCATCCATCCTGTCTTATGGGTTTTTGCTAATCAAGAAGAATATAAGAACCAGTTACATTATAAATGTCATACACGGCACTAGGGTTCCTAGTTAATTAATAGCAGAATGTATCTCATATCCAAAGTCAGATTTCTTCCCCACCCCATCACACTGTACCCAAATCTGGTCTTCAGGACCCACCTACGGGGAGATGTGAGTCTGCCAAGCATGCACATAACCCAGTCACACAAAGGGTCACAGCTTCATTCACATTGATGACCAGAGAGGGGAGCCAGAGGTAGCGTGCCTCCTGGACTGGTTCTGGAAGGCCGCTCTAGGCCTTGTCCCAGTTGGCTTTCCCAGTAGGTAAGCTGCACAGATGCTGTTGAGGCCAGGCCAGTAGAGAAAAGAGAGACCATTCATGATGAGCGATCTTTATCCAGGATCATCATGTGATACAGTGCTGGTCGATGACATGAGGTATTTGGCCGAAGGGACATACGACAGGGCTGAAATCCTGCCCACTCTTCTCCTTTTTATAATTTATTCTCCCAAATGGGATGCCTTTTGCATTTAGTCTGCCTGGAGGGGGCACCTTTTTCTAGTTCACACAAAGGTTCCATATGAGCAATGGGCTGCTCTTTTACCCCGAAGATCTCCTCTAAGCCACTGTGATGAGGGAAGCTAAGTGTCGAGTCTGGGCGGTGAAGTGGGGTGGGGTGGGGTGGGGTGAAAGCCTGGAATGAGCAACTAGAAGTGATCTTCCACTCTTCTTTCTTGGGGCATGGAGTAAATGGCCCTCCCCTCTATGAATATATGAGGAGCTGAGGTATCTAATCGCGTAATTAGACACAAAAGGCTAGAATGTTAGGAAAGACAGTGGTATACAAAGGGAAAAAGCATTGTCATTAATTCACACATTCAGCGGATCGTAATTTAGTACCTACTATGTGCCAGACATAGTGCTAGGCATTGGAGATGCTGTGTGAGTATCACAGGTAGTCTGTCAGAACAGCTAGGTTCTGGTTTCCATTGTATGTGTTCCCTGGGGCACGTTATTTCCTTACACACATTATGAAGTGAACTTCTATAACATCAGCAGTGTTCATGGTCTCCTTTACTGCCAGTGTTTTTACTATGTGTTTAGGTCTCTGGGGAACTTTACAAAGGATGTTCCTTCACACTCGAGTTATTGGCTTGGGAAGATGCATACCCAGAATTCCCCTCTAGTCTCTCATTCAGATCTTCATGTTCCTGTGTGTTAAAATCAAAGCTCAAATTCTCATCTGGTCACCCAATCATTTGGCAAGAGAAACCATTAGCAGGTAGCTCTACTTGAATCCAATAATGCCTGCATCAACAGACTTCAGTGAGTAGTCAGAGTAGCTAGAGCAGAGAATACTAAGTGAGGAAGGACATGTACAGATGCCAGAGAAGTAAGCAGGGGCAAGCCAAAGAGGGAGCACATAAAACAGCATAGGCATTTCTGCCTTGAAATGAGGTCAGTGGACAATTTGTAACAGGGAGTAACCTGATCAGGTTTGTATGTCAGAACAAGTACTTACAAAATGGTGGCCTGGATTGAAGAAGTGAGCAACAGGATGAAGAGAAGGGATGGATTCGTGAAAGATTTGGGAGATAAATGGACACGACTTGGGAGACTGTGTAAATCCAAGAAGAAAGGAAAAGTCAGGGGAGAGTGCCCTCAGGTCTCTGGTTTCGGTGACAGAATGGAGTCTGCCCTGCAACAGGTCAATACAGCCCCTTAGTCCTGGCTCAGAGGGCAGTCTGGAGAGGGTAATTAAAGGGGACTGGAGAGACCAAGGAAAAGGACCTGGGGAGACTGCTCAGCTCTCCTCTTTTAATGTCACCACCTCATTGCACTCAAGATCATACACACCGTAGGCTCTGAGTAAACCTATGTTACGTTGATTAGTTTTGTAATGTGAAAATACAGAGCAAATTCTGGTATCGATATCCACAAACTTCAGAGTAGGCTTGAAGAACCCCGCAGTTTTTCACCCTCTAGAAATATCCCAAGAGAAGATGTTAATGAATGGGAAGTGTGAAGGAGGGACTGTTGAACAAGTCTTGAAGGCATCTACATTTAGCATCCTGTTCAGTTCTGGAATCTCTCAGAAATTGACATACTCCATATAAGCATGTGGTTCCGATTGACTTTAATGGGATTCCCTTGCAAACCACAGATTGTAAATTATCCCCTAGTAGGTATAACATTTATAGGAGACATATTATTTTACTCTGAATACCCCCTCGATGCTGTTACACTGAATTCTGACAACAGCAGAGCTCAGAATAAGATCATCTTTTACTAGAATGCCACTGTTCCATGTTGATTTCTCTAAGCCAAAGAAAATGGGTGTTTATAATAAAAGAACGTTTTTTTTAAAGAAGAAGAAAGACTTAATTCCATGCTAAGGAATATCAAACACGATTTCCGTATGGTATTTGTTTTGTTTTTGTTTAATACAAGGCAGGGCACTTTCTTTTAGAGAAGAAATGATAGTTTTTCCCAGGTCTGGAGATTAAACAGTTTGGTAGTCATTTCACGTTCAGCTCACAAAAAGGGGATTTGCATATGAACTTGTTTGGGCAAGAAAACACATCTGAACATGTTTCATGGGAACTATCTCTATCCATGGCAGCTCCTTTTGGCCATCTCTTTCTTTTCTTTTCTTCATCCCTCCAGGTCACCGGGTTGAAACTGTCTCAGGACCTCGATGATCTTGCCATTCTCTACCTGGCCACAGTTCAAGCCATTGCTGTAAGACCCTTTAATGCCATTTTTAAAGAGAGCGAGGGCTATCAATAAACTTTAGACCGCATGCTCCTCCAAGATACATCATGTGCTTTTTGCGACAGAGATTGTTAATTAAAAGGGAGCTTGCCAAAAAGAGATGCGTGTCTTTTAGGAAGGAAATCTTGATGAAGTTCTTCACCTGCTTCACTAATCACTTCACATGGCTGAAAGCTGAAAGGAGCTCAAGCCTTTGAGCATCATAGTTGTTATGTATGTAACTTGTCTTCCAAACTCAATTAAATAGAAGCAGATGCCATGTATGCTTGCATTAAGAAAAGCTGATGTTAAAGAATGTGCACACTTATAAAACACATGACATTGTTCCCTTCGCAAAAGGATTCATTATAGGGTTCCTCTAAATAGTAAGCATCCTTAGAACTTGGAAGTGTTTGTTTTTAGGTCATTAGCAGCTTCAGCAAGAGGTTCAAATGGTTAAGGAGAGGAGGGGAGAATTTAAAGTGTTAGGAACTCCTATGCTGAAGATGAATCCAAAGTGAAAACAAACTCCTAAAGGCTCAAACATCATTCTCTAAGGACTCTTATTCTCCCAGAGGTGATCATGTTAGGAAGTGCATTTTGGAGAGCAGGTCATGGCCTTCTGAGTTTCAGAGCTGGAAGGAACCCCCAAAATTATAGCTAATCAAGCGAGGCTTAGCCACTCTGGTAAGAGAACCTGGACCAACAGAAAGGAAAAATCAGGCCAGTAAATTCTGATTCAAAATTTATTTTTCAGAGACACACAGAAAGTTTCCTGGTTCCTGTTATGTGGACATATTTATATGCCGCTCAGTTATTTTGTTTCTCCATATACCACTTCCATAACCTTACTCCTTCAAATAATAGAACTGCATACATTTTTTTCCATATATCCATATCACTAACAGAAGTGCTTTTCTCATGTCCCCATTTGTCCATGTAGCTATGATGAGAGAATAGAGCTTTCCAACCACTAAGAACATACAGTCTTATATGCCCCAGGCCAACTGGATTGGATGAAACAGTCCTTTTAGTTTATTTATGTGCCAGTTTGACTATCTTCCTGAAGCAACTGTCATTGATTTAATAGCTTGGCTAGTTCAGTGGCATCGATCAGCTGGTCTTACTTATGGGACCTTGGTCAAAAACAGGTAATTCTGGTACCTGTCAAAATGGAGGGAGTGAATAGTAAAATGAATATGAAGGAGAATAATGGGCATCAGTCATCAAGACAGTTATTTAGTGATCCTATTTGATGGTAATAATGATAATCATGATGAATAATTTAGTTTTGGGGTATTATGTGCCAGGCACTGTGCTAAATATTTACAAACATCATGCGACTCAACCTAATGAACTAGGTCTTAGAATCCCCATTCTGCAGGTTTGAAACCTACACTTAAGCAAGACCACTTGCTCAGTTTCATGTAGCTTAGCGAGTAGCAGAGCTGGGATTGGTGGCCCCGGCTTTCTAAAATAAAAGTAGCTATATGGAGTATTGAGGAACTTTGGTTTTGTGATCCAACGATGCCATTGCATGAAAGTCTTCGAGTGGAATAAAATGACCACGTTGAAATGGAAAATCTGAGCTGTGTGTTGCTCGTCCTCTGAGTACATGCCGAGAGGCAGACCCAGGGGCACCATCACGCGATGATAATGACCGTTGCCTTTCCTCGACACCCACTAGCTGTGCCAGGCACCAGAGTACCACCCACCCACCTGTGGCCTAGGACAGCTACCCTGTAAGCAGGTGAGCTTGTCCTCATTTCACAGACAGGAAAAAGCACCTAGCGAGGTCAGAAAGCTAGTGCTCAGTAGAGTCACATGGGGAGCCCGAGAAGTGTCTGTCTCGCTCCCGATCTTCTGCTCTTTCCACTCTCCCAACCTGCATTTGCTTTTTGATATGCTTGTAAATGCTACATGGAGGAAATAAGCTTCCAGGCATTTCTAAGGCCAGTTTTTATTTTACACATCTTAGCAAACTTTGTTATTTTGGCCAGGATCGCCTCACAGAGGCACCCCCCTTCCGTGTAAATGAGGTTAAATATAATGCGGACTGGGTGGAGCCAGCCAGCTACATTTTCCCAAATACCACACAGTTGGAAAATCAATCTTGTATTCAGTGGGTTGTACATGTATTAAAAGCTATCATAGTTATTCTGTCCATCGCCTTAATGACCTTTATAATACTGCAAAGGGAAGGAAATTTAAGACCTTTTTTTT